TCTTCGGTGGGTGTACGGTCTTTCCAGAGGATAAGAAATTCGATCCGTCGAGCTCCTCGTGGGTCACGAACTCGGTGCCTCAGAATCTTGTCAGGCGTGATAATTGGCTCTTTGGGTGGTCGTGTCATGCTGGCTGGGCAGTTGCGAGGCAGTTGGATGGTGCTCGGGATGTAGGGACGGAGTACGCTGACATGGAAGGTGACCGGTGTGATCATGTGGCTATTGCGAAAGGGCCCGCAATATCGAGGGCGGAGTTTGGGAGTGACGGGCAGGCGGAGGTTTTGGGTGTCGAGTAGAACTAAGTCGGCGACAGGGCGGGGTGGCGGTCGGCGTTGCGCTTAGCGATGATGTTTGATTTTTTAATTGCGTCTACTGCTCGGGCCCGTGCTGCCAGAAAGATTTTAGCTAATTGTTGCGCGCGTGGTACTAGGTTGTCGGGATTCGGGGTCATGGGTACTGTGGGGTCTTGTCCGTAGTTCAGGTAAAACGGTGACTGTTGGGTCGTGGCGGATGGCGAGTTGTTGTATGCAAACTCGATGAGTGGCAGTTGCTGTTCCCAGGTGGTTGGGTCGTCGCACGTGGCTCGGATGAGTTGCTCCATGGTCTGATTTGTCCTTTCTGTCTGTCCGTCGGTCTCCCGGTGGTACGAAGAACTAAACTGTAGTCGCGTGCCGAACTGCTGCCACAGGTTCCCCCAAAAGTTTCTGGTGAATTTCGTGTTGCGACCGCTGATGATTGCCGCTGGTATCCCGTGGAGTCGAACGACGGTGGAGATGAAGAGGCGGGGTGTTTCTTCAGCTGTGATTGATTTTTTGCAGGCTGCGAAGTGTGCCATTTTCGTCAGCCGATCGACGACGACCAAGATCGCATCGTTCCCGCTTGCCCCGGCCGGTAACCCCGTGACGAAGTCCATCGTCACCTGCTGCCAAGCACGCTCTGGGGGTGGTATCGGCTGCAACTGTCCTGGCGGCCGCTTCCGTGATGACATGAGTTAGCAGGTGGGACACGACGCCACATGTCGCTGTACGTCCGTCAACATCTCAGGCTGGTAATAATATCGCTGCAGTTGCTACCGTGTCTTTTCTACTCCGAAATGTCCTGAGGTAACTCCGTCGTGTGCCTCCTGTAGCAGTAGCTCGCGCAGAAGTGTGTACCTTGGTACCCAGACGCGGTCAGTCCCTATTTTTACATAATAGACTCCCTTTGCTGTGGCGAATTGCTGCGAGTTTCCTCCGGTGAAGAATGGGTCAGACTGGTAGCAGTGGGTAAATAGTCCTGTCAAGAGCGGGCTGGTCTGGGCGAGTAGTATGGCGTGGATTTGGGCAGTGGGGCGGGTCAGTGCGTCTGCGATGTTCCACGCCCCCTTTTTTAGGTGACAGTGTAGTGGAAGTTTGACTCGAGGAAATCGAGCCAGCGAATCTGTCGTGGGTTGAGGTGGGGCTGTGCGCGGAGGTACTGTAGTGATTTGTGATCTGTCCGTACTGTCACGTCTGCGCCGGTCAAGTAACAGCGCCACACTTTGAACGCGTGCACGATCGCGAGCATTTCGGGTGGTAATTCTTCTCGGGCGGGTGCAGTTTTCGTGATTCGTATGCGATGGGCTGTAGTACGGCTCCGATGGCGATGTCGCTTGCGTCTCTTACTACTTCGAATGGGCGGTGTGGGTCGGCAATGCGCAGGACGGGCGGTGAACAGAGAACAGTTTTCAGGGCAGAGAAGGCAGCTTGCTCTTTCTCCCCCCACGTAAAAGCGACCCCCTTCCACAGTAAATCCGTCAGTGGGGCTGTTAAGCGGGCCATGTCGGGGACGAACCGACGGACGTAATTAACGAACCCTAAAAAACTCAACAACTCCGTGATATTGGTTGGTGGGTGCCATGCTTTAACCGTGTCCAGGTTCTTCGGGTCAATCTCAACCCCAGCCTCCGAAATAACATGCCCCAAAAACTCTAGCCTATCCCTAAAAAACTCGCACTTGGAACCCTTGGTCAGTAGGCGGTGCTCGTCTAAAATTTTAAATACTGCTTATAAGTCCGCTAAGTGCTGCTGCTTGTCGCGACTGTAGACGAGGATGTCATCGAGGTAAACTGTCACGCACTTATCTAAAAGCGGCCTAAACGCCTCGTTTATGGTTATTTGAAACGTCGCTGGTGCATTGGTCAGCTCGAAGGGCATCACAGTGTATTCAAATGACCCGTACCTAGTCCTAAAATTTGTCTTCGCGCAGTCCGATGGGTCGACTCGAATCTGATGGTAACCCCCCCGTAAGTCGATTTTCGAGAATACCCGTGCTGTTCGCAGTTGATCTATCAGTTCGTCAGCGCGGGGAATCGGGTATCGCGACTTGACTGTTACCCTGTTCAGTGCCTTGTAGTCGATGCACATGCGAAAACCTCCGTGCTTTTGGTGTGAACAGTATCGGTGCAGCGAACGGCAATGAGCTCGGTCGGATAAACTGCTTCTCTAACAGGTAATCTAACTGCTTCTCAAGTTCGTCGAGCTCCGGCTGTGTCAGTCTGAACTGTCGCTGTACAGTTGGCTGTGCCCCCGGTTCTAATTCTATCCGATGGTCGTGTGCGCGCTGAGATGGCAGTCCTTCCCGCAAGTCGTCGGGAAAAATCCGTGGGTACCGTTTCAACAGTTCCTGTAGTTCGGGCGGTACCGCTGCCAGCAGTTTCTGAAAATCGCTCGGCTGCTCGGCTTCTCCTACCACTTCTATGTCCACTGCGTACACGTCAGCTCCAGCGGCGACAGCCCGTTTCATCGTGATGGCGTTGATGTGGACCGTTGAAGGCTCAGGCGACTGCCAATGAGGTAGTTTAACCCAGTTACCGCTACTTCGCGCTGTGCAGCTACCCGTCGTCCAGTCGATTCGCGGGTTATACCGTCGCAGCCAATCACGTCCTAGTGAAATGTCGTGCCCATCCAGCGTCGTCGCGAGCATTTCCTGTGTAAACCCGAAGTTCCCCCCGCAACGGACCTTCACTCTCTCCACCTTCTCCCGTATGGCCAATGGCGTGCCGTCAACAAAGCGTGCGTCGATCTCTGGTAAGCACTGGTAAGTGTCAGCTGCAGTTTCCGTGCGGTCGCGATATTAACTAAACTGTGGCTTGCTCCTCCGTCGATAAAAATCTTCACTGCTGCTCCCTGTATTTTCCCGTAAAGCAGTACTGGGCAATCCGTCGCTGTACCCTCCTTATTCATCCGAGCCCGATCGATAGCGTGAATCGGTACTGTGACTCGGTGAGGGTCGGTGAGGTTGGGCGAGCAGGCAGTCTCGTCAGTAGTTGGCCTAGAATCTACTGACTGTTGGCGTTCCCCTGCACCTGAGCCCCCCTCCCCTGCTCTGCTCCACGGCACCGCAGCTCCTCTGGACATTCGCTCTTGCGATGGCCCGGCCTGTTGCAAGCAAAGCAGCGCCCCTTAAACGGCGCGGCAGCTGCGTTCGTCGCAACGGCGTGTACGGTGGCGTGCTCGATCGGTCCCCGAGGACGATGTCCGTAGTAGGACCCCGGTCTCGGTCGGCGCAAAATGTCGATTTTCTCGGCGAGCGCGAGAATCTCGTTGAAGTTCGAGAGCCCGCGTAACATGATTTCGTGCGAGATGTCCGGCTTCAGCCCTTGGATATTGGTTCCGACGTAACGGTCCACCCGCTCCGCTTCGTGCATGTAGCCGACTTGCTCGCATAATGCGAGAAAACCGCTCGTGTAGTCTTGAACCGACCCGAGCTGCCGCAAAGTACGCAATTTCTGACGCGCCGAAATTGAAGCCGCGATCGGCTCGAAGCGCGCCCGAAGCCCTGCGCACCACGCATCCCACGTGCTGTACTGGGCGGTTTCGCAGAATGAACTCCACGTGACAGGTGGACCCGCGGGCCCTTCCTCTTGCGACGGTGGCTCGTAGGCGCGTGGCGACGTCACGATGACTCGCCACCAGTCCATGGCGGGGCCCCTCAGCAGCGAGACGGCGTATTGAATCTTCGCTGCGTCTGACTCGACGTAGTTTGCGTCGAAGAAGACGTTCGTAGTGAAGACCCACGATTGAACCGTCGGACCTCCACGCTGGCTCGGGTCGAAACAGGGCGAGCGCTGCAGCTTGAATGGCATCGGTGCCATAATGGCGTCGACGCCATTTGTCGCCGCGAATTCCACGTGCCGACGGGCTTCGCGCGACTCCCGTGGGCTGGGCGTCGGCCTGTTCCTCTCCATGCGAGGCATCGAGTGGGTGGTGCCATCACTGGCTGCGCCTGAGCGCTGTCCCACGCTGTCGTTTTGTGTTGGTGTGCCTGACGAGATGATGATCGGCTCCTCCGATTGTGCAGGTGCATTTGAAGGTGCGTGTGGTGGTGCTGGAGCATTCACCGTGGACTGCTGTCGAGCGGAGTCGCGTTCCGCCGTGAGCCTCGCAATGTCGAGTTGCGAATCCTCAAGTTGGCGCACCAGTCGGTCGAGCTGCTCCTGCGTCAGCGTCGCGAGATTGAATTCAGCCATGGCGGGGGTGTCGGGCAAGCTCAGCGAGAGCCTCTGTCGTGGCCGTGCGTGCTTACGAGAGAGCACTACGAGCGGCGGTGCTGTGTCGCTGAGAGACGTCTACCCCCTAAAAATTTTGAGATAGTGGGGAAGCGAAGAGATCGTAGGCTCTGAATACCAAGTGTTACGAGTGCAATTGAGTGAACGAACGAGAATTGCACTATCGAAGCACGAGTACAATGAGCGAAGGCATGGACGAAGAATATATAGCGAAACTACAGTGGTAACGGTAATGTGCAGGAATTGGGGTGCGCGATGGGCATAGCGCCGAGGGTGGGAAATGCCGAGGCGGAGGTCCGGAGCGCGGGTTACCAACCGAGCCGTGAGGTTGGGTCGCGGCGTGAACAGTGGCGGGAACAGTGTCGAGGCGAGTGTCGCGAGTGGTAACGGTTTACTGTTTCAGTGCTAGTGGCGGGAACAGTGTTGTACGCGCGGAGTAAGGAAAAGGAATTTTCCTTACAAACGGTAACAAATGATTGTAATGTATGTTGTCGAGTGTAACAACACGGCACACGGCACTGGTCCCGTCAACCCCGCGTCCGCAACTTCTTCCTGGTCTTCATTCTCTGTCCTGGTCAAACCCTCCGTTCTGTGACTCGGTCCCTCCAACCAACCTTGCTCTACTTCATGCTTTCTTGGCGGGCAATACGGGTACGCTTTGTGTCAATAAATAACCATGGAACCTGTCACGAGCTGCATTTCTTCTCTCGAGATTATCATTCCATTGTAGCAATACTACGAATGACACCATGTCGTTTCTTCCGTCCTTCCTCTTCCCCACCTTGGCCCCTTCCCCTCCTCTGTCGACTATTGAGAAGGTCCTATCCGATGATTACCTTCTCTCGCTCGTGCTGCGATCGCTGACGCGCGACTCCTTCCATTACGCGCTTGTCTCCAAGCGGTGGTACGCCGCAGCGCGGTTCTCGCTCGCGCACCTCGTTATCAAATCCAAGATCCGATTTCCCGTTCTCCTAGACACGATTCGCACCTTTTCCTCGCTCACGCGCCTAGAGCTTCAAGAATGTCGCGTTCAAGATTCGAACGGCGATGCTCTCTTCCAATGCCTGAGCGCCGCGTGTCCGCATTTGACACATCTGACCATACACTACCAGTTTCGCATGCACGTCACTTGCAACGGCCTCTCGTCTCTCTTTCATGGCTGTCGCAAGATTCGCGACCTCCGCCTACTCACCCTCCACTCTCTCCCGCACCTCCCGTCCGCCGTCACTCTCCTCTCCGACCTGAGAACCCTCCATCTCTGCCGCTGCTACGAGTATTATGGCGTGGATCGATTCGAGCATATAATGTCGCCGCCTGAAAGCATCGGCGCGCTTCAGCAGCTACAGGAATTCCGCGTTATAACAGGATCGCAGTTCCGAGGTCTCCCGGATGCCATCAGCAGCCTCACGAACCTCCGAAGCTTGACCTTTTCCAACCGCTCCTTCTCTCAACTACCCACCTCCATTGCTGACTTACCGCATCTGCAAACCCTAAAGATCGAGATGGATAAGTTAAAGGTGATTCCGGATTCCTTCGAGCACCTCACCGGGCTTCGTTCCTTCTCGCTACAGTCCAAGCGTGTGAAGCGCGTGCCTGAGCATGTGCTGGGGGCGATGGTGCGATTGAAGTCGCTCTATCTCTGCTGCAAGTCCATCCAGAGCCTTCCAGACTCCATCTGCTGCCTCGCCCTCTCCTCCCTCTCCATCCTCTCATCCCCTGTAATCAGCTCCCTTCCTGACAACCTCGGAGCCCTTGTACAGCTTGAAACCCTAAAGCTTTGCAATCTGCCCAACCTTCAGTATCTGCCGGAGAGCATGGGAGATCTACCACGATTGAGATCGTTGGAAATCAACCAACTGGGTCTGCTGCAGCTGCCCGAAAAGCTGTGCACGGGGAGTGTGAGACACAGCCTGGAGGGGCTTTACCTGTGCGAGTGCAGAGAACTGAGGCAGCTGCCTCCCCAGTTTGGTATGCTGACGCGCCTGGAGGAGCTTGACATCACCTCCTGCTCTCGCCTCGAGTCCCTAGAGCCGTTGCTTGCTCCGTATCCCCCAATGGGTGTGACCTGCTCCCTTGCTTCTGCTCTTTCTTCTTCTCTTGACCCTGCTCCTGCTACTGCCACTGTTGCTCCTATAGCCAGTGCTTGTAGTGAGGCCAACACGCCCAGAGACCCACAGTTGCAGCCACAGTTTCAGCCACAGGCGCAGGCGCAGGCACAGGCACAGCAGCCATGGGGCCTGGCGTCTCTCACCAGCCTGTCGCTGTGTAGATGCTCGCGAATCCCCTCTCTCCCTGATTCCTTCTCCATGCTCTCTGCCCTCTCTTCCCTCACCCTCACCCACATGCACGGCCTCTCCAACCTGCCAGAATCCCTCGGAGAGCTGGTTAGCCTCAGGTCCCTGAAGCTCCAATACTCTAATAAGTTATCTTCTCTGCCCGAGTCACTCGGGCAGCTGAAAAACCTTGAAACGCTGGAGCTGTGCTATTTGCCAGAGCTGAACTCTCTGCCCGGGTCACTCCGTTGGCTGCCGAAGCTGAAAGAGCCTTTGCTCATTGACGTGGGTAGGGTGACCGAGTGGTGGTGGATTGACTACCTCCCATCCGTTCGGTCTGCCAGAATGCGGTTGATGCTTCACTGAAGGCCCCCATGCAGACCCTGTTTTACTCGGTACTTGCATGATCAATCATCGCGGTTAATGAAGTGTATTGCTAGTTGCTGTACATACCGTAATAGCGAAGTTGTGAATGGGCAGAAGTGCCTCCATCCTGGCATGTTGTGCATGCAAGATCACAACACATGGTTAAACCAGTTCAAAGGCAAAACAGGCTAGAAACCATAACGGTGACTTCTGATATGTACTATTATTCTGGTGGACACATTCCTTTTCATCTGGGCAGTCAAACAAGGATCTCGCAGTACCTATTGTTCCCTAACCTGAGTGACTATGTCGCTGGCAATGTTGGGCCACTATTGGACGAAAGTTTTCCAAACCGGCCAGCAACCAGAACCTCGCTCCACGTGCCTCGCCCTCAGATCACAAACCTCACCCGCTCACGTTGGTGGTCGGTTCGGTGCAACTTGGGTGGCCTTGGGAACTGCGGTCAGTGGCTGTCTGAAAGGTCTGATTGGGGGATGTCGTGTCATGCCTGGCAGGGTGGTTCGTACCGTGTAGTGAGAGGAGTCTGGGAGCGACATCTCTGCCTTCGATGCTTCTGCTTTGTGGATATTCCACTTTCCGCCATCACCATTCGCGCTGCCTCGATTTCCACTTTCCTCGTTCTCCTCTCCCGACTCAAGCCACAAGTCGTTTCTTAGATTACCACTTATCGTCGATTTACCTTAGCTTCTGTCGCTCTTGTTAGCGTATTATCTTCCTATCGCAGTCTAGCTTCCGCTGTTCAGAGTTTTTCGACGCTGAGTTCGTAGGTGCGAAGCGTTTTTAGGTCATGATAGTTGACGACTTCGATCAGCCGAACGACGTCTATCTCTCCCGCGCGCCGGAGGATGTCATCATTTCCCGGAATGGAGCGGTGTTGGGAAAGAAGACCATCTTAAAGAGCGACCACTTCCCTGGCTGTCAGAACAAACGCCTTTTGCCTCACATCGACGGAGCTCCGAATTTCCGCCAGGTCCGACTTTCGCATCGTCCAATGAAACTCGGCACGCTGCGTTTATTCGAGCGCGCCTGGCTGCCTCACGGCCCTCTTGGTGCTTTTAACAACTAGGCACAATATTATCTCCTAGGTCTCGTTTATTCTCCATCAGCCTTATCGATTAATCTCTACTCGTCCCCGTATCTCTCTCTCTCTTCCCTCGAAGATTGCGGACCTTCCAGTCTACGGCGTGGCCATTCCGACGGTAGAGGGAATTCGCAACGTGCTGCAGATAGTGGGAGCTTCGCGCAATGGCGGACGGCACGTTCTCTGGCACAGCATGCGCGAAGAACCGGTATTTTCTCGCGCTTGAGCGTCGGTCGTGCCAGGGTAGCGACCATACAGAAGCAATTTTATAGTAGCATCAAAATTTGTGAGATACTATCTTGCAGCTCTCAGGACAGCATGACTATTCCAGATTAGAATGATAGCGGATGCAGGATCAGATTGGCAATCCCAGAACAGCGAAATTTAGTTTGTTTTTCTTAGACATAAGACATATATCAAGAAGGAGAGCATTCACCCTTTTTAGGAGCGCACTGACTCTTTTAGAATAGCGTTGACGGGGTTCAAGCGTCGTTCTGATTCGTTCCCTTTATTACATAATAGAGTTGTCCAATCCAGGACCTCATTCAAGCTAAGGTTGCTGTGTTCATGGCACCGCTTACATCAAGGCCAGCACTGACTATGTGACGATAGCTTCCCTTTATCAATGTAAAACCGACACTACAGAGTAGCATTGACCGAGAGTTTACCGTGCTTCCCTTCCCTTCCATGGCAGGTCATCTACATCAATGGTCGCCCCTTCGTGCTACGCGAGGTTGAGCGGCCGTTTACGAACCTCGAGTACACTGTGAGTGTGCTCCACAGCCCTGGATGCACAATGTTGAAAGTGACATCGGATGAAATGCACTGTGGGACCGTGAGTCTGTAAGCGGGCACTGCAATCGCAGCCAGTGCAGGTGACATTGAAAACCCCTTGGCGAAACAGTTCTGTGCGCACAAATTTGCTTTGCACTTTTTAAGGGCAGCGCTTTTCTTGTGAGTTGCACGTCTATCTCATGCAGTCCCTTCAAGCCCTTTCTGCTGAAGGCAAGTTAAGTTCTTTAGCTGTTGGGGTGCGTGCGTGTGTTATGGCTGGCTGGCAGGGCATCAACCGGGCGAGAGTGGAGCAGATGGAGGCACGGCTGAAGAAGGATGTGCTCAGGGAGGCGGCCAGGTGAGCCACGCCTCTGGTTGGTGGGGTTGCCATGCAGGTGAGCTATGGGTCTGCTTGGCGTCGCTGTGCCGTCGCACAAGTCTCGTAGGTGAAGGAAATGGTGGTGATGAGGAGCCTTTATCACCGTAGTAGCCTATGCATTGTGGTGTTCACCCTGTCTGAAGCAACACGTAGACTGTAGGCTCGTTTGCACTGCACGCTGTGGCATGCGTGGTGGGGTTGCATGGCATCAGGCTGCAACGGTGCTGTTTCCCCCATGCACAGCTGATGCCGAGTAATGAGCATCTGCCTGGCCTGACTGGCGGAAGATGGTGCTTCCCTTCTGGGCCTCAGATATGCAGCGCTCTTGTTCGTTTGTGTGCGTTTCTGCGCATGTGCATGTGCGTGCATGTGTGTATGTGGTCATGGGCATCCATGCATGCATGTGTGTGTTTGGTCACGCACGGGCATGCAGGTATTCCAACAAGATCATGGTGAGCGATGAGCTGCCTGACGGCCAGATGGTGGATCAGTGGGAGCCCGTCGGCCCTGACTCCGTGCAGACGCCTCTCGAGGTGACCTCTTGCCCCCATGCGCCTCTCAAGATGCATATTATTTGCGTGAGTGGCCTTTCAGATGACCTGCCTTCTTTTGCCATCTGGACTTCGCTCTTGCACTGTCTTTTGAAGTCTGTGCATGCCCCTGTATATGTGTGCATGGAGGGGTGTGTGTGCACGTGGGGATGTGTGTGCACGTGGGGATGTCTGTGCACGTGGGGATGTCTGTGCACGTGGGGATTTGTGTGCACGTGTGTGTGTGTGTGCACGGCACGGCCATGCAGGTGTACGAGGACATGCAGAGGCAGGGGTACAACGTGGACTATGAGCGCGTGCCAGTCACCGACGAGAAGGTGCCGGAGGAGGTCGACTTCGACCTTCTGGTCAGCCTTCACCCTGCTGCTCACCATTTCATCTGCTTATCACCTCAGCCAGTGGATTCTGTTCGTACTCACTTATTGTGTCAATAAAATCCCCTAAGTTTTCTCGGCCGTCCTTCTTTCTGTCCCCTCGCCCCCTCCCCAAAACCCCCTTTCCCCCCCCCACTTTCTCGTCCTTACTTCCACTTGTCTCTTGTCCTCCTAATTCGCGTACTCTCTCTCGCACCATTTACATACTCCCCTCCCCCTAGCATTCCTCCTCTCTCCTCCACCCACTCCTTTTCACCCTTTCTATCCTATCCTCCTCCCTCCAATCGTCTGCTCTCCTGATGGCAGGTGGAGAGTCTGAGCAGTGTGGACGAGGGAACAGCACAGATATTCAACTGCCAGATGGGGCGCGGCCGCACCACCACCGGCACCGTCGTCGCCACCCTCATCTGCCTCGCTCGCCGCTTCCCCTCCCGTCAGTTGCCATGCCATGCTCTCCTGTCACTGCCCATGGTTCTGCACGCGCTCACAGCCTGTGCCCTCTAGACTTTCATTCAAGCCCGTCGGTTGCCACGCCATGCGGTTCGCCGTCCAATGCTCGTGTAGCCACTCGTCGTGTAGCAGCTCCACTCGCTTCTTTCCTCTGTGTTTCTTCGCATGCCCCCTCAGCAAAACGTGACCATAACATGCAGCGTTGGCTCAGCAGACATACGAGCACCATGTATGCGCCCTTGGCTTCTGGCATGCACATGGGTGCATGATGTGTGTGTACGTGTGTCTGTGTGTGTATGAGCTTATGCATGTGTGCGTGTGTGCATGCTTGCTTGTATGCATGCGTGTGTACATGTGTGCATGCAGGCATCCTGTCGCCATCAGCGGGCGCCACCATGCTGGCCAAGGCGGCGTCCACAGCGGGCCACGAGCCAGGCGGGGCCGCCAAGCTCATGCTGGGCGCCGCCACCACACCAGGCAAGGCGCACGGCGCAGCAGAGGGGGCAGCAGCGGCGGAGGCAGCGGAGGTGCAGGCGGAGGTGGATCGGGTGCTGCTGGCGGGGCAGTACGCCGTGATCCGCTCGCTCACACGCGTGCTGGAGGCGGGCAGCGAGAGCAAGCGACTCACCGACCTCGCCATCGACCACTGCGCCTCCATGCAGGTGACGTGACATACTGTTGTGGGGAAGGGTGACACACGACTGGTATGGGCAGGTGACAGGCTGGCCTGAGAAGGTACAAAATGGCATGAAAAGGGGCCAGGGGTGTTGGTGTTCCTCCTGGACTGCTCTGTGTGTGTCTTTCGTTCCTCTCATCCCTGTTCCAGTGTAGGAAAAAGCATGTTCCACCCACCCACTCATTCCCCCGCGTTTCTCTCTCTGTGTATCCGTTTCCATTGTCACTACTAATTCTCCCCAACCCTTTTCCCACGTTCTCTTGGCTATTGCCCCGCAGAACCTCCGGGAGGCCATACTGGGGTACCGCAACCGCATTCACCGGCACTCGGACGAGAAGCGGCGACAGGCAGCGCTGAACCTGTTCGTGGCGTACCTTGAGCGATACTACATGCTCGTCTGCTTCTCCGCCTTCCTGCACTCCCTCACCGCCCCCCACGCCTCCACCCCCTCCTCCCTCACCACCTCCCAAGCCCTGCCCTCGCCCTCGCCCTCGCTGTCTCTGTCGCACAGCAAGGCGGATGACGCCCCTTCCGCGCTTGGGAGGGTGCAGGAGCCCCCCACGCCAGGCAGGGAGCGGTTGTCGCTGGTGGACGGGGTGGCAGCAACACAGGCGCTGAGGGACGCCAAGGGCGGCTTCCAGCGCTGGATGAAGGCACGCCCTGAGCTCTACAGCATCCTCCGCCGGTACGCCCTCGCTCCCCTCCCTTCACCACCTTAAGGTGCCGGATTCTGGTGGCTCTTTTCGTGGTGTAGGTGCTACGCGTCGTAGACTCTAGAGTTTCAGTTGATGGAGAACAGGTTTGACCTGCGTACTTTGACTCCACACACACCATGCTGGGCATGTTCGTCACTACCAACATCATCATCAGCACCATCTCCTTTACAACAACCCTCACCATGGCAGGCTATTACGGAGAGACCCCATGGGAGCGCTGGGGTATGCACACCCAAAGCAGGCCAGCATGCCGCGAGCCCTCTCCTTCTCCCTACCTCATGCGGTCTCCTCCTCACCCACCCGTGATGCGGCCACTGCCGTCGCTGCTCTCCACGCACCTGCTCCCACTGGCACTGCTTCACTGCCAGCAGTGGCAGCAGCGGGGCAGGGGGAGGGCATGGAGGTGGAGGGGGGGGACGTGGAGGCGGGGGACGTGGCGGGGGAGGCGTTTCGCATGGCGGAGATGGCGGCTGCCATTGTGGAGGCGCGCTCAGGGGCCATGCTCAGCAAGCAGGTGCGCTCAGGGGCCATGCTCAGCAAGCAGGTGCGCTCAGGGGCCATGCTCAGCAAGCAGGTGCGCTCAGGGGCCATGCTCAGCAAGCAGGTGCGCTCAGGGGCCATGCTCAGCAAGCAGGTGCGCTCAGGGGCCATGCTCAGCAAGCAGGTGCGCTCAGGGGCCATGCTCAGCAAGCAGGTGCGCTCAGGGGCCATGCTCAGCAAGCAGGTGCGCTCAGAGGCCATGCTCAGCAAGCAGGTGCGCTCAGGGGCCATGCTCAGCAAGCAGGTGCGCTCAGGGGCCATGCTCAGCAAGCAGGTCCTCCTGGTTATAATTCATAATACAGTTGACACTGCAGTTGCAGTGCAGCGGTCGTTTCCTGCTTCAGTACACTCACTCACTTCCACTTCCGTGAGAGCTCCAACCTATGAGTGCCAAGGTTGCTAAAAATGTTCGCCAACTGCCTAGTCGCGCTTGTAAAGCGGTTGGATGTGAGGGCACGACAGCATGCACACGCATCAGACGCGCTGATCATTCCCCTTCCTCTCCCCCTTTTGCTCCTTCTCCTGCCACCCCACGCCCCCCTGCTCTCCCCCTCTCTTCCCCACCAGACGGTGCTCAAATCAGACCATTGCCCCGGCTGTCAGAACCTTTCGCTGCCAGAGCTGCTGGAGGGTGCGCCCAACTTCCGTCAGGTGCAGGGCTTCCCCGTCTTCGGCGTCGCCAACCCCACTGTCGACGGCATCCGTGCCGTGCTGCGCCGCGTGGCCCAGGCGGTGGGGGGTACGGGCGCGGAGGGCGTGGAGCGGCGGGTGGTGTGGCACAACATGCGGGAGGAGGCGACGGTGTATATCAATGGCAAGCCGTTCGTGCTGCGCGAGGCTGAGCGGCCGTTCAAGAACATGCTGGAGTACACGGTGAGTGGGACATGCTGGAGTACACGGTGAGTGGGACATGCTGGAGTACACGGTGAGTGGGACATGCTGGAGTACACGGTGAGTGGGACATGCTGGAGTACACGGTGAGTGGGACATGCTGGAGTACACGGTGAGTGGGACATGCTGGAGTACACGGTGAGGCATGGGACACGGTGAGGCATGGGACATGGTGAGGCATGGCACACGGTGAGGCATGGGACACGGTGAGGCATGGGACACGGTGAGGCATGGGACACGGTGAGGCATGGGACACGGTGAGGCATGGGACATGGTGAGGCATGGGACACGGTGAGGCATGGGACATGGTGAGGCATACCGTATGGGAAAACGGTGAGGCATGGGACATGGTGAGGCATACCGTATGGGACACGGTGAGGCATGGGACATGGTGAGGCATACCGTATGGGACACGTGGTGAGAGACGCGTGGATGGAGCTGGTAGGGCATAGTGCATGTGGTAAGGCACGGTGTGGTGTGTTTAAGTAGCATGCTGGCAGCTCATGTGCATTGTGTGTAGATCGAGCAGCAACCGCGTTGGCATGAAGCCAATGATTCTGGCCTTGACTGGAGTTGCCTTCACCACTGTGCTCACGGTGAATCACCAACATTGTGAATGGGTACGGTGAAGCATGGTGTAAAGTGGTGAGATATGGTTTGCTGAGAATCTTTTGTGAGCTATGTAAGGACTGGTGGAGAATGTGGTGTAATGAGACGATTCAGTACGAATGAGACGTGACATAATTTCAAGTATCGCATGGTTAGGGTTCATATGAAGAGGCAGCAATGTGGGGCCCACTCATGTGACAGAGAGCAACAGGAAGGACTTTTGGAATTTACATGACCCACCCACCGTGTTCCCAACACACGTTTATGCCCTGTGGTAGTACCCTCATGCGTGCATGCGCGTGTGTTTGCACAGCAGGGCATTGACCGACAGCGCATGGAGCACATGAATTCGCTGGCTGATCAGGACAACTCTCAAACACAACCCCATGGGTGTGTGCACGTGTGTGTGTGTGTGTGTGTGTGTGTGTGTGTGTGTGTGTGTGTGCGTGCGTGCGTGCGTGCGTGCGTGCGTGCGTGCGTGCGTGCGTGCGTGCGTGCGTGCGTGCGTGCGTGTGTGCGTGTGTGCATGTGCGTTGTGGTATGCGTGGGCAGGGCATAGACCGGCAGCGGGTGGAGCGCATGGAGGCGCGGCTGAAGGGTGACGTGGAGAGGGAGGCGCAGCGCAGCGGCGGCATGGTGGTGGTGGACCATGAGAGCGACGCCGGGGAGCTCTTCCACGCGCTTGAACCCGTGCCCGTGCCCGCTGCCGCCCAGGGCGCTCATGGTGCTCATGGTGCCTGCGTGCAGACCCCTCTGGAGGTCTTCCGCATGCTGCAGGTGCGTGGGAGCCTCCCTGTCTGCCTGCCTCCCGCCTGCCCGCCCACCCTCTGCCCGATTACCTGCCCGCCCACCCTCTGCCCGATTACCTGCCCGCCCACCCTCTGCCCGATTACCTGCCCGCTCAACCCCCCGCCTACCCGCCTGTGCCCCTCTCTCCCTCCCCCTTGACTGCTGGTGTCTTTGCTGGCGTTCAAGGTTCGCTCTTCTCACCATCTGGCTGGCTGGGTGCTTTCTTATTGTGCTGCAGTACATGTGTTGTGTCTGGCTGGTGTGCAATTTCCATTGCCCTACCAGCACTGTGGTCCGCACATTGCTTTGCTTTCTGCTCGCTCTGCCTGCTTCACTCACTTTTACCTCCTCCCTGCCTTTCCATGTCTCCACGCCCTCCCTCTTCCCCCTGTCTCCACCGCACGTCTGGCAGCGGGAGGGATTCAGGGTGGACTACCACCGGCTGCCCACCACGGACGGGGAGCCGCCCAAGAGCCGAGACTTTGACGCCCTCGCCACCTCCATCAGCAGCGCCGGGCCCCACGCTGCCTTCGTCTTCAACTGCCAGGTGCCTGCCATGCCCGTGTGTTGGCGCCTCAACATCTGCCATGCCGAGGCCATACTCCTGCTGGTCTTTCGTTTCTTCCTCTTCCGCTGTGACTGCTGATGGATGGCAGCAGCTGGACGGCAGTGCGATTATTATAAAGTCTCTCCACATGCTTGCTTCACTTACGAGTGTCGATTGATTTATCCCTCCCTCGCACCCCTATCTAGCTTCAACCCCTCCTGCCGTCATCCCGTGTTTTGTTCTTCTCCGTCTGCTCCCCGTATCCGTCCTCGTCTCACTGCCTCCCACTTCACCACGCTTTGCTGGCTCTGCTCTCTGCTCCTCACCTCTCTTCCCCTTTCCCCGTCCAATCCTTGCTCCCTGGCCTCATACAATCCCATGTCCCCCCTCTGCTCGCTGTCTTCGTGCCCTCAGATGGGTAGGGGTCGCACTACCACCGGCACGGTTATTGCCTCCCTCGTTCTCCTCCGCTGCCTCTACGGCCGGCCCCTTCGCCTGCCTCCGCTGCCTCCCCCCTCCCTCGCCCTGCCCTCTATCTCCCACCCCTGCACCAGCCAGCCCTCTCCCCCACGCTGCAGTCCCCACAGCAGCAGCAGCAGCGGCAGTGGTAGCCAGCAGCATAGTGACAGCAGTATCAGTGGTGGCGGCAGCAACGACGAAAACGCTGGTGGCAGGAACAGTGACGCGAGCAGCCGTGATGCTAACGAGGGTGACGGTAGCGGTGCCATGAACCCTGACCTGCAAGGACCCAAAGCAGCGGAACCACACAGCACCTGGCAGCAGGAGGATGGCCCCACAGCCCTCCGCACGCCCTCCAGCCTTCAGAAGTGCTCCAGCGGGCAGCGGAAGCGGCGGGCCACAGGGGATGCTGGCGCGGGCGAGGGAGGCGAGATCATCGCGCGGAGGCGATCGGGATCAGGGAACGGGCGAGGGGGGGGCGGAGGGAGAGTGCATGAGGGCGAGGGGGAGGGCAGGGGTGGGGGACGGGGGCGGGGCAAGGCAGCGAAGGCGTGGGGGGAGGGGGACGAGTTTGAGCTAGAGGACATCCCCGTGGTGCGCAAGGTGACGCGCATGCTGGAGGGGGGCGCTGCTGCGCGGCACGTGCTGGATGGCGTGGTGGACCGCTGCGCGCAGATGCTCAACATCCGTGAAGCCATCCTCAGCTACCGGCGTGCCTTCAACATGCAGGTGCCGTGGGGGAAGGGAAGGGTGAGGACGAGGGGGTGTGGGGTGGGGATGGTTGGAGTGAAAGAGGGCGGATGGGGAAAGCTGTGCGCAGATGCTCAATATCCGTGAAGCTATTCTAGGCTATAGGCGCGTATTCAACATGCAGGTGCGGTGGGGGAAGGGAGGGGTTGGGGCGGAGAGACGAGGGGATGTGGGGTAGGGATGGATGGAGTGAAAGTGGTCAGTGGAGTTGAATGGTGCGGGCATAGTGGTGTCTGTGCAATGCAAGTGAAATTCCGCGTGCTCTATGGTGGTTAGGAGACAAAAGAATGAGGCAAGCCGTTTGAATGTCATAAGGAAGGACGAGAGGAGGGCAGTTTGGCAGTGAGGGGTACAAGTTCCACATATCAACTTGATGCCTTCATGTGCCATTGACATATGTCATCTTCTCCCACATACACCAACTGCCCCATGCTGCGCGCTGTCCCGATGCTTGCATGCGTTAGTAATGCCTTCCATCATCTTGCTGCACCTCCTGCGGCCACATTCACATCCTCACAACCCGTCCCACACCCACCCCACCCGCACTGCCAGGACGCGGATGCGCGCACGAGGCAGAGTGCGCTGAGCCGCGGGGCCGAGTTCCTGGAGCGCTACGTCATGCTCATCGCCTTCGCCGCCTACCTCTCCTCGCCCCTCTTCCGCCCCGCCGCCCCCTCCCTCTGGCCGCGCTCCTCCTCCTCCTCCTCTGCGTCCCTGCCCTCCCTCCCCCCCTCCTCCTCTCACACTGCCCTGCCCCGCCTCTGCCCCTCCCTGCCTGCTGCCACCAGCTCCTCTCTCACCGCTGCCAGTGGTGAGGCTGCACGCTCAGATGCAGGGGATGGTGGCGCAGAGAAAGAGAGAGAAGAGAAGCATGCTGGGGGGCCGAGTGAGCATGGGCATGCCAAGGCTAATGGAGAAGGAGAGGGAGGAGAGGGGGAGGGTGAGGCGGTGAGCTTCAAGGCGTGGCTGAAGCGGCGGCCGGAGATTCGCCAGATGAAGTGGGGCCTGCGCTTGCGCCCCGCTCGCCTCTTCACCATTCCGGTGCGCTGCCCTGCCCTGCCCTGCCCCACCAATCTCCTCTTACCATGTGTGCTTTCTGCTATGCTATAATGTTTGTGGCCCATACTATACTTTCATCTGGTGTATCCCATGCGACTCCATTCCGCCCGGTACAATCGCATCCCAGCCGGTTGCATTCTGCATTACCACGACTTCTCTCATTTAAACATTCATTCTCCTATCGTCATCCCTCGCTCGCATGTTTTGATCCCCTCACAAACTCTCTTCCCCTCCGCATAACACCCCCTCAGGAGGTGGGAGTGCGGCTGCGGGACAGCGATGCGAGTGCCAGTGGGGCAGCGGGGGCGGTGGAGGAGAGGGAGGCGGAGGACGCGGTGCTGCGGGCGCGGCGCGGGGCAGTGCTGGGGCGCGGGTCCATCCTCAAGCTCTCGCTCTTCCCCGGGCTGCAGCCGTCCGCCCTCAACTACTCCATCCAGATCCCCCATGTGCCCAACTACTTCGAGGTCCGCTTCTCTGCTCCCACTTCCTCTCTGTCCTCTTCTCTCTCCCTCTCCTCGTCCCACATCTCCCTCTTCTCTCTCTGCCTCTTCTCTCTCTGCCCTCTTCTCTCTCCCTCTCCTCGTCCCACATCTCCCTCTTCGTCCCACAGCATGGCCACACCCACACAGCACAGGGCGCTCCTTCCGCCTCCCCCCATCCCACCATTCTCTTCGCCTGTCCCTGGGCCTACCCCTCCACCCACTCACGCCCAACCCCTTTCCTTCACCATCAGGCCCCAGGGTACTCGGTGCACAGCATGGCGACAATCACAGTGCACGGCGCTTCTCTTCTCATCCCTCACGCCGCCATCCCTCACTCCACTGTTCCCCATGTCTCACCTTACCCCACCTCCCCCCTTTCCCCTCCCGCCAGGCCCCCAGGTACCCAGTGCACAGCATGGCGTCGCCCACGGTGCAGGGCGCTCCTTCCGCCTCGCCTCACCCCACCATCCTCTGCTCCTGTCCCCCCTTCTCGCGTCTCACCTCCCCCCTTCCTTTCCCCCCCCGCCAGGCCCCCGGGTACCCGGTGCACAGCATGGCGACGCCCACAGTGCAGGGAGCCCAGGCCGTGCTGGCCCACCTGGGCGCCGTGCCTCAGCCCACGCCCACGCCACCCGCTGCAGCAACAACCGGTGGGAGCACTGGGGAGGCGGATGGGAAGGCGGAGGCGAGGGGCGAGGCGGAGGTGGTGATAGTGGACCTGCGGGAGGAGGCGGTGGTGTACGTGCACGGCAAGCCCTTCGTGCTGCGCGACGCCCACCAGCCCGCCGCTGCCCTCAAGCACGTGGGCATTGCGGGCAGTGCTGTGGCGGCCATGGAGGAGCGGCTCAAGGCAGACATCCTGCAGGAGGCTGCTCGGTGCGGCGGCATGGTGCTGCTGCACAAGGAGAGGCCCAGGGAGGGGCACGTGCTGCAGGGTGGGAGCAAGGGTGTGGGCGTGGGTGGCAGTGGGAGTGCGGTTGACGGAGCTGCTTCTGCTGCTGGAGGGAGTGGCGGTGAGGAAAGTGGCTGTGCTTCTGCCGCCGCTGCTGCTGATGTCATGTTCAGTGGTGCCGGTACTTCAGATGGCGCTCCAGATGGCGCTGCTGCTTCGCCTGCTGCTGCAGGTGACACCGTTGGTGCGGAGCACACAGCAGGCAGCACAGCTCCCGACCCGCCTGCATCAGGTGCCACTGTGCCGGTGGGCCCCACGGAGATCATCGGCGTGTGGCGGGAAGTGGGGCCGGACGACGTGAAGACGCCAGCGCAGGTGTATGGCGAGCTGAGGGAGCAGCAGGGCTACCTCGTGGACTACCGGCGCATCCCCCTCACGCGGGAGAGAGTCCCCGTGGCCTCCGATGTCGACGCCCTGCAGCTTTACATTCAACGGTCAGCCCTTACTGCCATTCCTCTTGCCCACACCTATCGATAGCGGGGGGCATCCTCGGGGGGCATACTCGGGGGGCATCCTCCATATCCACACCTAACTGACGAGGAGAGAACGTTTCGTGTTCTTCGTCGCTCGCAGCACCCTGTTGAGGAAAGCGTGCCCATGTCCCAATGTCAAGTGCCTGAGAGCTGTTGAAGAATAGACAGTTTGTGGTGCAGCTAAAGCAACATTAGCACCATCCATCCGTCACCCTGCACTCTCCGTGCACCTTGCACACCTCCACATCTAATTCGCCTCCTTCATTCCTTCTCTACCCCTCCCTGTTCCCCATGCTGTTCCCCGCAACTCCCTGTCACCCACATCCCACGCACCTCACCCGTCCACCACTTGCACCCCACCAGGCGAGGCCGCAACGTGAAGTTCCTGTTTGTGTCGCACACGGGCTATGGCGCCATCGCATACGCCATGGCCCTCACATGCCTGCACCTGCAGGCCACCACTCTCCCCTCGCCTGCTCCCCTCGCCCCCTCTGCCGCCCCCTCGTCTCCCACTGCTGGTGCCACACCATCCACCTCCACCCTCGCCAAGTCTGCTTCTGCTGCTTCATCAGTTCCGGTCGCCAAGGCTGCCAGTGGCGGGGGCGGGAAGGGGGAGTATCGCAATGTGCTGCAGCTGGAGCGAGTGCTGGTGAAGGGGCCGCACTGCAAGCGACTCGTGGATGCCGTTGCTCACAGGTGGGTGGTGCACAGGTGGGTGGTGCACAGGTGGGTGGTGCACAGGTGGGTGGTGCACAGGTGGGTGGTGCACAGGTGGGAACACTTTGAAGGTGGTGAGAATGAATTAGCTGTTTTACGGGGTTCGACGGATTGGGAAGGCAAGAACACGACCGGCGTCCCAGAAGGCACGTCATGCAACAGGATGGAGAGGGGTCTAGTGCTGGGAGTGAAGTGAAGTGCGGTGCCATTGACAGCCCTTTTGCTTGTGCTCGCTGTGCCTGCCCACGTGTGCTCTCCCCCCTGCACTCCCCCGGTGCAGGCTGCTAGCAGTGGGGCGGATAGTGGAGGATGCGGTGGAGTACAGGCGGGCAGCGGAGGCGGTGCAGGGGGACGACACGGTGGACCGCGACAGGCGGGCAGCACTCACTGACATGGGGCTCAAGGCATTGAGGTCAGTCGAGGCGCTCAGGTGGGCTCAAGGTGCTCAGGTGGGCTCAAGGCGCTCAGGTGATGCAAGGCGCTGTTTTCTACTTATTCCAGCCAGTATCTAGCTGTATGGGTATGTTTTTGCCTTCCATCTTAGCCATTCCACACAATGACGCAGCTATGCCAGTTTCAAATGTATGTTTTATTCGTGTTCTGTGCTAGCAGTCTATGTTGTCTAGCCTCTTGTATGCAGTCTCTCAATTCTACTTCTTTATAATCCATGATTTCCAGACATGTCTACGTATGTTTACATCTACTGACACGTTGCTTTGTGAATTCCTCCTCCCCCTCCTCCTCTCCCCATCCCTCATCCTCTGCGTGCAGGCGGTACTGCTACCTCATAGCCTACCGCTCGTACCTCTTCTCCAGGGCATCTGCCAGTGGTGCTGCCAGCAGCAGCAAGGGCAAGGCTGTGGTGGAGGCAGGGGGGGCCAAGGGAGGAGCAGGGGGCAGCGGGGAGTCGTTTGGCGCGTGGGTGGCGCAGCGGCCAGAGATAGAGCACATGCTGCAGCACCTGGTGCTGGAGTGACGCCACATGCTGCAGCACCTGGTGCTGGAGTGACGAACCACAGCACGTGGGACTCAAGCCATGAATAACTTCATCTGCCACAGACCACCTCACACACGCCACTTGCCACTGGCGTTGGGCCCAAGCAAGCGTGCATGACCTTGCTTCTGATGGCTGGTGAATCTAGCTGCCCTCTCGCTAAGTGCTTGCGTTTTCTATTAGGTGGTAGAGATGCTTTGATCGGTAGTACAATAATAAGTTGGCTATAGCAGGTACTGGTACATTAGGAAGCTGGTAAATTATTAAAAAAACTGTATATGGTACATGCTACCGGTATGTAGCATCTGTTTTTTATTAAATCATACCAACATATGGTACCATGCCATTGCCCGGATGTGCCAACGTAACACCGGACACTATCTGCTCTACGTGGCTGGTACGGGAGACAGTCAAGCAGACAGCCTGCTTTTGATTCGGAAGAGAACAAAATGGAGGCAGCGAGATGTGAGACATTCAGCCAGTGACTACAGATTTGACAACAGCATCTGACGCAACATAATATTCCGAGTGCTAACAGTTTACACCATTATAAGCCACTCCAGGAGTGAGCTAAATGGAACATACTAACAGGTGCTTCTGGGTTGCAAGTCCCAGCGTCGCCACTAAATACACTGCTGGGCCTCAGCGAAAAGAATGCTGCAGTTCTAGAATATCCTGAAGTAGGAATAACGAATGAGTGACACATGGACAGCAGCAGCCAATCAGCAACGAGTTCCTGATATGCCTTTATGTCACTCCCTACGACCTCCGAGGTGGCATTTGTGCTAATGGCAGTGTCACTCAACTTGTTAGAATGGCGGGGAGTGAATGGTGTTGTAACAACCTGCATGTGACATAGCCAGGGATATATAAGTTGTGAGGGGGTTGTAGGAAAACAGCAAAAGCCACAATCACTGTTGCCAAACCAATCTGACATAATCCTGACAAAGAAAACCTACCAGTTTTACAACATGTGCTTGTGGCGAAACAAAGAATGTTGAAATAATAGAGGGATTGGATAGGAAAATTGAGGACAGGGACGACAAGGTTTTGGGGAAGAAGACGTGTTACAAAGAGGGGGAGGAAGAACGAGGGGGGAAAAAGGGGTGAAGGGGGAAGGGAGGGCGAAACAAAAGTTGGTACCATGCGAAGCCGGTAAGAATATCCATTACACTTATACTGTTCATTTATGTCAAATTTGAAAGCACGGGAAACAATTAATCGAAAGCACCTTATTTTGGTACTGGTGATGCATGGCAATCTTGAAATCCATCGAGTTTGTGATAACGAGCCAGCGCACTTTCAGGGGAGGAGGGAACCACCAGTCCTCCAGTGCCTGTAGTGGAGTATGAGCGCGGCAGCATGAATAGGCGCGTAGGAGACAAGAGGGTGGGAGGAGGGACAGATATTGTGATAACGAGCCAGGCACTTGCAGGGGAGGAGGGAACCACCAGTCCTCCAGTGCCTGGAAGTAAAGAAGCACGCGTATGGAGTGAACGGTTAGGAGACAAGAGGATGTGAGGAGGAGGGAGCACTAGTGGAAGTTTGAACCAGCGCACTTGTAGAGGAGGGGGGAACCACCAGTCAAGTCAAGTCCTCTAGTGCCTCTAGGAGGAAGCATGAGCAGGAGGATAGGAGACCTTGGAGTGGAAGGAGGGGCTGCACTGGCTGCAGCAGTAGGAAGATTTTGAAGCAATTGTTACAGCAACCACTTAGCAGTCAATGCAGCAATGTGCTGTAGCAGTGTAGGAATCACAATAGCAATTACTCAAGCGATTACTGTAGCAGCGCACCTGAGTGCAGAGCAGCAGCGGGCGAGCCAGCTGTTTGAGCCTCTCAACCTCCGCCTCGCCCAGCTGCTTGGGAGCATCTTCGCCCTCCCCTGACATGGTGCAATTCGGTGCAATGGGATGCGATGGGATGGGATGGGATGGGATGGGATGGGATGGGATGAGATGAGCATGCGACACAGAAATATCACAAGCCACAACCAAAAGGCCTAAGCCACTCTTTCCCAGTGAGTGCAGAGGCTAAGGCGGCACCCACTCTCGCACTTATTCACCCACTCCCATGTGGCCGAGGCACGGAAAAAGGCGTCGCAAATCAAACGCATAGCACAGAAAGGGCATTGAGTGACCTCAGCAAGACGGAAAGAGCTTTCAGCTGACATGAAAATCAATGCTCGCGAATCCATGCTGTGTCAGAATAAACCCAATAGACTGACGAGCACTATCACACCTGCTGTACACCACACAAGGCTGAGCGCACTTGTTCTCCGCTTGCTCTCAGCCTCGCTGTTGCACGCACGACACTGTCTCACCTTCCCACAAAGTCCCATCAGTGAATCTTATGTGAGCTCCAATGGTCACCAAGTGAGGTGCATGCAACCCCCCTTTTCAAGCCACTAGCTCTTAGCCAAATTCACTATGCCCTCACCTTCCCACAATCTGATGCCAACACCAATGGTTACCAAGCCACATCGTAACACGTGCTATCACCCTCACAGGCACCAAACCCTCTCACCTTCCCACACTGTCCCATCCGTGAATCTGATGTGCACGCCAATGGTCACCAAACCAGGTGCACGCACCTCCCTTTCCAGCCCACTCAGAAGCTGCAGAACCTCTGCATTAGGTCTGGAAAGAAACACGTAAGTGGGGGGAGAGAGGCGGCAGCAGTGGATGGCGAAAAAATTTAAAGATATCACCATTGCAGCAGGTGCTTCTGGCTCACTTGAGCAGTCTCACTTTTAAGACGTCTCACTTTTGAAACGTCTCACTTTTGAAAAGTCTCACTTTTGAAACGTCTCGCTTTTGAAACGTCTCGCTTTTGAAACGTCTCGCTTTTGAAACGTCTTGCTTTTGAAACGTCTCGCTTTCGAGGCTTTTTGAAAGTATTTTTTAAAAGTCAAAATGAAGTTTCCCAGAAAGTCTCACTTGAGCAGGAAGCGCAGGATACAGCCGAGAGCATACGGTGGGCGCGGCCCAATGGCTCGGAACCGTGCTGCCCACTCGCTCTGTTCTTTCAGCATCTGAGTCAGCATGCCGCGATTCCACGACAGCCTGACGTTGCGGAACTTGCTGTAGGGTGCGAAGGTCGTCTGCACGGGGTTGAGGGGGTTGAGGGGGGTGAGAGGGGTGAGGGCACGTGAGGGTGTAGGACATATCACAGCCTGAAGCTGACGAGTTGCGTGCCATCTACCATTGCAAATGCCCATCAGCAATCCTGCATCCGCATAATAAACGCTCATCCGTTTAAAACAAACTCTCTTCCGCTGCTCCGTGCTTCCCCAGGAACCCCATTCTATTAAACACCAAGCCGAACGCTCCCAAGCTGCGTATCTCGTATGTCAAGCATCGACGCGTCATCCCCGCCCCGCATCTCCACTGCTTCTGTCCTCGTGGGCCACTCCACTGAACCACCAAGCCAACCAAACAGCACCCACCTGCACGCCCCGAAGTGCGTGTCTCGAATGTCAAGCATCGGCGCATCATCCACTCCCAACCCAACCATACGAATGAACTCGCCTCCACTGCTTCTGTGTTTCTGTGCTCCAAGTAACCCTAAACTACCACCACTACAGCCAGACACCGCCACAAACACCACCCACCTGCACTCTCCAATATTTCGTTCAAGCATCAGCTCGGCACATCATCCACGCCTATCTCCTCCCCTCCAACCGCATTCAACCACCATGCCAACCAAGCACCACCCACCTGCAAGCTCTCAAACCGCGTGCCTCGAACGTCAAGCATCGGCACATCATCCTCTCCCATCTCCTTTGTTTCCGGGCTGCCCGGAATCACTGACTCCGTCGAGATTTCCCGGGCAGGTTCAAGCGGAATCTCATCCTCAGCCCCGTCTGACGTGGACGGGAATCTCCAGTCGATAAGGTTCGGCTCGAAGGCGAATGGCAGGCAGCCGTGGCGGATCAGCAGCGCGCGGCCGTCCAATAGCGCGACGACAAATGTCGAGGCGAGCCCGAGGAGCGTGTCCCCCAGGCCGCCGCAGCCATCGTACCACTCGTAGGTGAGGAAGCGGGGGAAGGCGGAGGGGGAGGGGGTGGGGGAGGGGGCGGGGGAGGGGGAGGCGGAGGGGGTGGAGGAGGAGGTGAGAGAGGAGAGAGAGGCGGAGGAAGAGGAGAGGGAGTCTGGTGATGAAGCTGGGGAAGGGGATGAAGCTTCCAGGCTGTTGCCCCCTTCGCTCCCTGCCCTGCCTGCTCTTTCGCGGCTGCTTCGTCTGTTTGCTGCTCGGATTTGCTCGTGCAAGGCGATGTACTCGTTATGCCATGACCCGCAAAGCGCTTCAGGGTAGCCAAAATGGTCGTCTGACGAGAACCGTGCGTGTTCTCCGGTGGCTGTGACTCCCAGAGGGACAAAGACGAGAAGGGTTATAACGAAACATGCTTCCGTTATTAATTGAGAAGCAAATCGTCCTGATTGGCTTCTGCGCGCTTCCATCTTCGCGACCCGCACGCTGACAACAGCCGTTCCCCCATCCGACAAGGATTTTCCTGGTTGACCTGGTTCGAACGCTACTGAATCGAGGGAGCAGAGTGGCAGAATACGGGTATAGTCGCCTGACCGTTAGCAGAACGCATCAGCGTCGTCATCCTCCTTTTCCCCCTTCAATCCGTCAAACCCACAAAAAAAAGGCTGCCTTCATTGCCGTTTCGCGTAAGGGCGAGGCCAGCGCGTTCGTCCCTCGTTCATTCTGTGCGGTTATTATCGTTACGTCACGGTGTAAAACGTTGAGGCTCGATAACCGCTTTATAACGTCTGGAATCGTATTGCGCCACGACGGATGAACTGCAAACGAACGAGCTGACCTCGCCCTAAGAGCTACACTAGCCCAAACGACAAACGAGTGACCTTCGGATGACCCCACCCTAGTCATGTTGTTACGGGTGCTGCTCCTCTTGTCTTGCCCCGTTCACCACTGCACGCCAATCATGGAGAAGCAAAACGCTAGCTTCCCGCATACAGTAATTAAAACCTGCACATGTCAAGCCATGGCCGACCTCAGCTGGCTCAACGCCATCGATATTGCATCGGCCAAGCGCGTTCCTCAACAACACTGCCTGCGTCCGTTCATATTCCAGTGCACCGCCCGCCAGCTTCACCACGCCGAATTCCTCCGCCCTGCCATTTCGCTACCGAGGTCCTCAATTTCTGCGCTCGCGAAGCCTCAACACGTCAGGTCGTAACCTGGTACGAACTTGAATACAACGCAAAGCGGGTATGATGAAGGATAAGGGTGGGTCTTTTTCGTTCGTTTGAATGCGGCTCACTGAGATGTTTCACGTTCCACATCGGTCCAATCAATTAGCATATTGGTCGGGATGGGTATTGGGCCAAACTAAAATGGAAATGACGTGCCCTAAAGTACGTTTGCCAAAGTTCGAACTTTCAGAGTGGTTGTACAGGGCAAGATGTATTAAGAGATGTTTTGCCACGCTACAAAGCGGTAATAGGCCCGATTTTTGGCAATTTTTTGCTAGAAGACACGCGCCGTAAACATCAACACCATGAAGGTGTGTGTCAATCAGAGCCCTAGATTCGTTTTGGACCAGGCTGATCCATCAGCGTTGATCCATAAAGAAAGGCTGCTGATTGTCGTTACCTAGCAAAAACAAGTTGAAAAACGTCAAATGTTGTAGCCTATAGTGAGGCATGTCATATGGGGTGCAGTTGTTAGGATTAGGGGTATGTACCCCAACTCACAGCAACACTGACATCATTTTCGTTTCTAACATGGTAAGGTTAGGATCCTGTTGGATCTCATTCCTCTCTCTTGAGGCTTTCGCACCTGTTGCGCCTAGCCTACCACGCCCGTGGCGCTCGTCACGCCCGTCCCGTCCTCTAGCGCTTGTTGCCCGTCCCGTCCCATACCCTAGCGCCCGTCTCGCCCGTCCCGTCCCATCCTCTCTCGCCCGTAGCGCCTCCCTACCCATCGCTTAGCGTCTTGCCCATCCCGTCGTGTCGCGCCCTAACCGTCCAGTCCGTCGCGCTCTGCCTGTCCCATCGCGTCGCGTCTCCCTGCCCATCGCGTCGCGCCCTGCGTGTCCCGTCGCGTCGTGCCCTGAACGTCCCGTCCTGTCGCGCCTTCGTGCCCGTCCCGTCGCCCTCCCTGCCCGTCCCATCGCCCCTCCATGCCCGTCCCTCGCCCTCTCTGCCTGTCCCGTCGCCCTCCCTGCCCGTTCCGTCGCGTCGCGCCCTACCCGTCCCGCCGCATCGCGCATTGCCCTGCCCGTCCTTTCACGTCGCCCCTCCCCCCCTTTCCGCGTCAGTTATGGCGGCGCCTGGGGTTCTGGGCTTTGATGCCGAGGGTAGGCGACTGGAGTTCTCTATCTAGCTCCTCCGTGGCAGCGGCCTGCTAGAGAGTCAGTGTCAGGCCGACGATTCCTTCTGGACGCACGCATCCGGTGACCTTCTTGTGCCCTCTGCTCCTGAACCCCTAGGCGCTGGCCCCAATACTGCGGACAGAAAGCGTTTTGCACGTCAGCGCGCTGCCCTGACAGCCTAAAAGTCGCGCGACTCCGCGGCTTGAATCGCCCTCATCAGCCTAATCTCTGAGTCTGAGGAGACCCACTTCACCCAGGTTCGCACTGCTAGCAAATTTCTGACTGCGATCAAGTCCCGCTACTCCACTCCCACCACTGTCTCTCTTGGTCACCTGTTCCGCCTGTTGCTGTTTCCTAACTTCGCCTCGTTTGAGCATTCTTCTGACTTAATCACTCACCTGCGTTCGCTGGGTTCTAACTACTGCACTGCCTGCACTGATGTACAGCTTGCACCGCTCTCCCCCCCCATGGCGATTACTATAGATTTCATCATCACTAGCCTCCCGGACCGCCTTGCCACAGTTCGCGACGCGCTTCTTCTGAAGCACCCTAGCGAGCTCACTATCACGGTCCATGAGTCTGCACTCAAGGACGTCGAGTGCAATCTCTGCTCGGTAGCATCTATCTCTGGCGCTGTCCCCCCTCCACTGTTCTACTAGTGCACTGTCCCATAGCTGCCCACATTCACTGCCTCCCTCGCCGCTACCGCTACAGACGAGACCGTGGTTGTTGTCACGACTTCTGCGCAGTCTAGAGTTAGGAGTGGCAGGAGGGGTGGCCAGGGTGCAGCTAGCAGCGGAGGCGGCAGAGGTGGCGTGGCGAGTGGCGGTGGCGGGAGCGCAGGTGTTGGTGGAGCGCCTCGTGCAGATTCTAGTGGCTCCCTTGCTGAAGCTGGTGGAGGTGATGCTCGAATTCGTTGAGCACCTAAGGGGCTGCCAGTTGCGGGTGAGTGGCGGCCTAGTACCTTGCTCAGCAGCAGCAGCAGCAGCAGCAGCAACAGCCACTGCTCTTACAGCAGCCACAGCAGCAGCAGGGGCGGCAGCAGGGTCAAAGACACGGGTCAGGTCCGGGTAAGCTGTCGCGTAGTGATGCCCACCCACCCTGCCCCTACCTCATCCAGACATGTACTCGCAGTGGCCTTCGCTTCGACCGCCGTCACCCACCGGGTCAGTGCTTTGCTCGGCTCAGTAATAGACTGTGCGCAGCCTACGGCGCAGAGACGGCCCTGCCCCTGGCTGGCTTCCCTTTGTTCTCTTGTACGGTCCCGCACTGTGGGACATGTCTCTCAGTTACTTGAACTCTTAGGAACTACAAATGCTATGTATGCTGTTGTTGACTCTAGTGCTTCTGACTCTGTTTGCTCGCGTGTTTTTAGCTTAGGTGCTAGTGTTGATCCTGTGCCAGTTGCTAGTGTAGGTGTTTGCTTAGGTACTCGTCCAGGTGCTACTCCGGCAGACGCTTCGTTGTCTTTCACCCCGGACTCCGGAGCTTCGTAGTGTTTCTTCCGCGACCACACGACTCTTACTCCGCTTCCTGTGCCTGTCTCTATAGCACTGGCTGATCCCACTTCGGGACCAGTCATTGCTCACTACTCTACTACGCTTCCGTGCCCTGCTGTTCCCTTGGGCTCTCTGATGGGCCTCCACGTCCCCTCGTTCTCTAGGAACTTAGTGGGTGTGCGGCTGCTCGTGCGACAGCACGTTGGTGTTTGGTTTGAGCCTTCTGGGGACTTTACGACCTATGTGGACGGTGAAACGTACGCCCTCCTGGCCGCCTTTTATGAGGAGCCGGATTCTGGTCTCTACACGCTTCACACTGGCCCTCGAGAGAGGCAGGAGCGGCAGCAGCAGCAGGAGCAGCAGCTAGTTATCGTGCAACCCTACAGTTTGCACTCGGGTTGTTGCCCGCGTGCGTGCATGCGTTTGTGCGTGGAATGGTATGAGTGCATGAAATAAATATTTTTTTCATGCTTATAATAGTGTGATGGGTCATGATGTCGAGTGTGTGTGTGTCAAGTCAATAGCGAGTTATCGCTAGTCACGTGTTACGCGGTCATTTGTGTGTCCCGCGCGGTTTCTGTTTTGTCGTTTGTGTGTCTCGCGCGGTTTCTAATTTGTAGTGTGTCGAACGTTCGGCGTGTCGCAGGTGTGTGCAACAGACCCATCAAGAACTCAAGGATGAGTTTGTGATGAAGAATTCGAGCCTTGGTTTCAAGCTTCAAGTGATTTCGAAGCTCGCCAAAAGGGTACATAGTGAGAATAGTTACAATACTTTGTGTAGTGTAACATTTAAGTTGATTTCGGCCCTTGTGGAGGGTAGTTTCGAGACCCTTCTTGGTTGGGGATAGTGTGGCACTGTTCCACATCACTGTACCTCGGCTCTTGGGGTTTGTAGGGGCCGGGAGTCATTCCC